CCAGGGGGAACCTGATCATATGACAAGTACCAATATCCCCAGAAAACCATTTCTTAGGCCTTCACATGGAACTTAGAAATACAGTGACATCTATGTTTTTGAAATGGAAGTAGGTAACAGAGTAATGACTAGGATGGTAAATTTTCTAGTCCTTTGTCAGCAGTTCACCCATGCCACATGGGACAGGTATGGAGATGGTCCCCACACAATACACACTTGTTACTAGGGCTTGGTTGCAGCTCTCTAACCTCTCTGAGAAATCCCTGACTTGGGATGTTGGACTTAGTTATAGGTAAATGGTAGCAAGGATCTGTGCCCAGCCAATGCAGGCCAATCTCAATGGCATGGATCAAGCTGGTAGCCTCCTGGGTCCCTGTGTCCCCACTTCAAACTTGGAACCCAAGATATAATCACCCCAAGGTAAGAAGAGGCATGAAAAGATGAATCCAAGCAGAAGCCCACAAATATTTCTCTGAGAGTCCAGGGCACAGCCAACCTAAGTCAACCACCTACACCCAGGCCTGCTCAGGACAGAGCTCCGAACCTGGTGAGAGTTCACTCACTGCCCCCTTTTAGGTGAGAGTTTCAATGAAGGGAGCCACAAAAAGACTGATTCCACAGAGGGACATTCAGGCCCACCCCTCTCCTCCAGCCAGTGAACTTCAGGTCAGGAGTATCTGTGGCAAGTCCAGCCCAGGTCCAAGCACCCTACCAAGGCTGAATGTGTCACCAACAGAGGGAATCGGGAGTCAGGAGAGACTGGGACTTGCTATGCTTCCATCCCTCACTGTGTGAGTGTGGACATCTCTGGACACTCCACTGTACAGTGGAGAAAACGAGGCTTGCCCTATGCACCTCAGAGCAAAGGGTGCATGTGTGAGGCTTATGCAAACTGAGAAGCACCGTCCAAAAGCAAAAGTTCTTTTTTACTATTCTACTTGTGGGTTCTGAGTAAATGACCAAATTCCCTAAAGAAGAAGTATAGGTTAGATTTATATTTCATATTTCAGCACACATAAACACACCCATGTGGGTCCCTGGGGCTGGCCTGTGGCCTTGTCCTTGTGGTTTTTAGGTCTTTTACCCAAAAGGACCTCTGTATCATTTCACTATTTTCACTCATGCTCAAGAAAAATTATCTCTTCCTTGGATGTGTAGACATAACAACACCCTCCCCCGAAGTTGGCTTCCACAGAGACTCCACAGCTTCTTCCCCTAGAGAGTGTTACTCATTTGGTTGGTTTACACTGGGTGTTTCTGTGCAGTGAACCCAGGCTTGGAAGACTCTCAAAAAAGATGGAGCCTCCTGGTTTACCTCAGGTTCTGCCAATGCTACGGAAGCAGTCTGCTGCTGTCTCATGGGCTCTTACTGGGGCTGGGGAACCACCTGGATGGTGGGCTCACAGGAAAAGTGAGATGCTACTACCAAAAGTGGGTGGTTGTTCAGGGGAGTAGTCAAAATACAGGCTCCAGTGGCCTGCGGTGTGGGTTTGAACCCTGGATGGTACCTGCTTAATGCTGGGCCAGTTCTACAACCTGCTCATCCTTAGAAGAGCATAACAGAATCAGGCCCCCTTCAGCAGCCTGATCATAGGCTAAAGCAAGATACTATGTGATGAAAAGCATGCCAGCCCTGTCACTGAATTTGTGCCACTAGCTACTGACTCAACTTAGGTGCTTTGGGCTTTCCCTTTCAAATAAATAATCAAACAACAACAAATCAACCAATGCCTTCTAGTAATTGAGGAGGTTCTAACACTAGTTTTGTGTTATTTTGCCCAGTTTTCAGGATGTGCTCAAATGCTGCTTCTTTGGGAAGCATCCTTGAAGTTGGCTGGCACGTCCCACAAGTGTGCTCACGGGCTCACAGATGTGTAAGGTACAGCAACTGTTTGTGCACTTTTCTTTTATCTCCATGAGTTGCTCAACAAGTGTCGGTTAAAAAATAAAGAACTTCACTCAGTGCCTTGCTGAATGTTTGAGGTTCAACAAATGGCAATTATTCTTATTCCCTGGAATCACCATTCATGTTTGTTCGGTGGCAGAGACGTTCTGTATGTTATAAATTTAGAGCTCTTGGAGTGTGCCAAGAGATGAAAGGAGCATACAGGGTGGGAGTGGAGACAGTCGTCAGATGAGCTTGCTTGTCTTTTGAAGGAAATAAGACAAAAGCCGTCTTCTCTCATCGATTGTCTCTGGACTCAGATGGAAGGTTCAGTTAAGGTTCTGTAGTTTCTAAGTGTTTAATTCCCTTTGCGGGGGGAATCCCACACACAATCATGTAACATACACCTCAGGACACAGGACACCTCGGCTTTTCAAAAACCAAGTGTTCAAAAAAGGGTGAAATCTTCCCTCTTATGGCTGAAATTTGGGGACACATCTTCTCAGTGTTGCCAGTCCCCTCCCAGGGGGACAACTGTTGCAAATGGTCATCAGCAGCCCATGGAGCATTCTCTGGTGCAGCCACTGGGTCCACAGTTAAAGCAGCCTGTCACCCAGGAGGAGGCCCTCAGTAAATACCTGCTGAATGAATAGGTGAATGAACTCTCACGTCCTAAGCGCCACCCCTTGCCTGAAGCACTTAGAGAAAGTGATGCTGGGAATTCCCTGGCCTTCACTTAGAATTGAAGACAAGAAGGAAAAAAAAAAAAAAAAAGGACGTCCCTGGTTTTCCCACTTCAGGGTTATTGCTCCTAAACTTTCAGGACCAGGCAGCAGAAAAGACAGGAACCGAGCACTGTGCCTCAGTCAGCATCAAGTCATGGCAGCTGCATGCCAGGTGCTTCACCTGCCTCTTCATGGCCCTTAAGCCAGCCCAGGAGGCAAAACCCATGGCCCGTGTCATAGAACTGAGGCCTAGACTCAGGACTGCCCAAGACCCAGAAGCAGGTGAAGATGTGAGGAACTCATTCTTCTCTTCCCTCTTATGTCCTCAGAGACTTCAGGCCCGCTAGGCTCTGGGAGAGACTTATGAGCTCCTCGGGGTCTCCTGAGAACTCTAGGAAAATGGCAGAGAGAGGCAGGGTTCGCCCAATCTGGAAAGTGTGCTCTAGGCCAAAGTGTGGCATAAAACCATCTACTCATGTGACCACAGGTCCCCCCAGACCCTTCTGTCTCTTAATCTCCTCCCCCCCACAATGATGTCACTGTTAGAAAATCTTTACGGACCACATTCCTGTTCACCGATGTTGACCCACTCACGAGAATCATCAACAGCTCCACAGGTCCTCAGGACCAACTCAATCCCCCCGCTGAATAGGCACGAGTGGGTATTTATCTTCTCACACACTCAAGAGATTTCTAAAAGATGGCCTAGATCTTTCTTGAAAATCTGCTTGGCCTCTGCTGGGATTCTTCAACTCCACTTGAAAGGGGGGTGGCCCCAGAATGAGCTGCTGCTGGCTCTGTGTTTAGAAAGTAAGTCCTTTCATGGGGTTCAGCTGTCCCTCAGGCATCCCGGGAAGCTGCCCATGCAAAGGCAGAAAATGTGACAACTGTTGCAAATGGTCAACAGCAGCCCATGGGAGCGACTGAGCATTCTCTGGAGCAGCCACTTGGTCAACAGTTAAAGCAGCCTATTATCCAGTTTATACAAAACACCCACCAGCTCCATGGCACCAATAGCTGAATATCTCCATTCTTATCAAGTTCATGACAAACTGCCACACTGCTTTGCCAATAACTGTAGAAACCATGAACAATTTCATTAACCATCCAAATCCACATGCAAGGGGGAAAGGGAGAGAAAAGACAGTCTTCCCCAGCTCTGAGGACCACAACAGCCTCACAGGCAAACCATAGCATTTCAGCATTGCTGACAGCTCTCACCCTCCAGGGAGAAAGTCCCCAGAACCCTTCAGATTTGAAGAGTTTGAGAAAGGAGGTCTCAGAGCCACCAAGACCACATAAAATGCTTCTTAAAAAAAAAAAATTAAAAAGTTGGGCCTTTGTGCATTAGAAGAATCTGCCCAAAGGCTTTTGAAAATACTTTCATGTACTTCACTTCCAAAACATTACACAGTATTTCTCCAACAAATTTATAAGTGTTTCCAGGGAACTCCTAGACTAGGAAAAAAAAAAAAAAAGGAAAGAAAAGGACTTAGGTATAAGAATATCTGGAGAGTCTTCTATGTTAACAGACCTCTCTTTTAATTGTTCTTATTTCAAATAACAGCCATAATCATTCCCTCATCCACAAAGGAAATATATAATCCAGCTGTGGTGGCTCCAGTAAAAATACCACATCTGTGGATCATTGGCAACACTCTGGCAAGACTGCTCAAATCTAGGCAGTCTCAGTGAGTTATTTTTTGTACCCAAGATGCACATGAGTGCACTTTTCTGAAAGTGCATATGAACTTTGCCAAACCCGGTTGCTCTTTTGCATGCGGAAAGGAGGTCTGCAGATAATCCACACCCCACAGAGAAGAGGCTCCCTTGGAATATTATTCTCAGGATCCAGCAGTTGTTAGAAGTCCTCAGACCCCTCTAGGGTGGTAGCTTGGGCCAGGGCCTTGTCAATATCAAATAGAGAAGGGGAGAGTAACACTCCTGGTTTCTGGGAGGAGGTTCACCGCGTGGCTGGCTGACCCAGTGGCTGGCTCCTGGTTTTCCATTTAACAGGCCAACGGCTTCCGCAGAGGAAGGCAGCCACGGTTCAGGTCGTCCTTCTCTCCCTTTTCCAGCATACGAAGCCAGTGAATTCCTGAGCACTGGGTGCTAATATTCCAGGAGTCGCCCCCCAAGCCTGAGTAGTCTGTCCCCACAGCCCAGCGTCAAGAATCTTATTTCTAAGCCAATCTTTCACGTTCAAATCCCCAGTCCTAAATGCGCCCTGGGGGGGTTAGGAAAAGACAACGTCGCTGAGGGTTGACAGACTTTACCCGGGAACATATGGCCCGAGGCTTCCACGCTGGCATGCCGCTCACCCCAAAACCCTCGGGGTCCCCGTCCACCCCAGACAATAGAGCAAGAAAATAAAATGAAAGTGGACTTACTGCTATGGCTTGCAGCCTCTCCTTGTGCAATTCCGCCTCTGCCATCCTGGAGAAGGGCACCCAGGCAGGAGAAAGAGGAAAGAAAAACAAAACACACGCTGTAGTCACCCAAGGAAATTGACGTGCACCCCGGGGGGCTTAGCTAGAACCCAGGAGAGCCCAGGCAGCGGGGTCGCTTGGGGGCAGCGGGCAGAGCTGTGCGCACGGCTGGCTCTCGGGTTCAGCCCCTGGTCCCCGCCCGCGCGGCCGCCTGGCTGCGCCCCAGCGCCGCCGCTAACTGCATCTCACGGTCGCCGCCGGCAGCGCCAGCCGGGGACGTGGGCTGCGGGCAGCCGCCGGGAGGGCGCGCTCGCCCCGCGCTCGTCCTCCGCCCTGACGTCTCGGCGCCTCGCTCCGCCCCTGGAGTGTGGGGGACCCGTGGCCGCGGCCCGGGCGGCTCCAGGCAGGCAGCAGAAGCCGGGACAGCCGCCGCGGAGGGTCCCTAGGACGCGAATAGGCGACGCGCGCGAGATTGGGCACCTGGGACGCGCCGCTCCACCAACCTCCAGGGCGCACGGCTCGCGACTCAGTGGATACGCGCGCGCTGGGGCCGCAGCCCACCAAGGTGGCGCCTCCGCTGAGCAGACGCCAGTGGAAGGCACTCTGGCAGAATGCGGGGCCCCAGCACGTGCCCTTACGTGCGGGCTGCGGCCGCCGAGTATTCTGGGCGCCTTCTAGCTCACGCCAGATGCTTGGGCTCCTTGCTGGGAAGTATCCAACGGGGAAGAGCTGCCTCGCCCACATGCTGTAGATGGCAGGGTCCTCAAGCATCTAGTCAGCTGAGGGCAGGGTATATCTACAAATGGGCCAGTTACCCTTCTGGTGAGGTCAAATGTGGCTTAAGCAGCTCCTGGATTGCTGGCTAGGCTGGGTTGGGCAGTTTGAAAGCTGTGAAAGCTTGGGCAACTCAGTTAACCACTCTGAACCTCAGTTTTCTCATCTGGAAAAAACATGGAGGATCCCAGAGTTACCTCAAAGAAGTATCCTTACAAAGGATATTATCAAGTATATTGTAAAAGGCGTTACAGAAATCTGCTTTTATTATTATCCTGTGACATTCTGTATTGGTAACTTTGAAGGTCTTCTGTACTAAAGTGAGTCTTTTGTGACATTTCCTGGGGTGATTATGGGGATGGATAAGACTTGATCCATAAAAGAAATAAATGCAGGCCTGGGGCTGTAGCTCAGTGGTAAAGCACTTGCCTTGCTCGTGTGAGGCATTGGGTTCAATCCTCAGCACCACCTAAAAATAAATAAATAAAGATATTGTGTCTATTTACAACTAAAAAAAAAAAAACTAAAAAGAAAGAAAGAAATGCTGAAAGCAAACAAAATTCCTCTCAACAATCAGTAAGGACTTGCTAGAATCCCCAACATTCATTAGAAAAATTTCCCCTATAGAATGAAATAAATACTGTGAAGAAGGAAGAAGAAAAAAAAACCAACATGGCCTCTTTGGATCCATATGATTCTATAAGTGCAGCAGTTAAGAAAGCATTTTAGGAGATATGCACATGAAATTTGCCCAAAAATCATCTGTTTTCTGGGCAAATTCTTTCCATTTCAAATGAATTGCCCTTTCAACTTTCAGAGATTTTTAACTGTCACTTGATGAGCAATCAACGGGAGATCTGAGGATGAAAGCCCTCACCTAAGCATTTTAAATGAGGGATTGTTTTCTCTTCTGCATAAAGTGTGTTGGTGGAGCTGTTTGTGTCATAAATCTAAGCTAATGCCAAAGTGTGACATCCCCACTCTGCTCCAATGTATCAGGAACTTGTACTTTCTGGCTAAGACCCATCACTTTCTTCAAATGTTGCATTTTCTCTTTGTTTCCAGCCCGAGCCCTTGCAGGACAAGTTATTTGTGGCAGGGAGTTCCTCACAAATAAACAAAGCTGTTATTTCAGGAGAATGTATAACAAACAAAAGCAGAGAATACCAAGATGCAGAAGTGAGGCCACTCTGAGGCTGGAACCTCAGCCAGGGTCATAGATGTGGGATTCAAACTCTGAGCAGAACTCCCAGAGCCTATGTTCTCAGCCATTAAACACCAGGGTCGCCAGTGACAGGGAGGTGTGGCAGGCCCCAGGAAGAAACAAACAAGAAATGGTCCTTTCCCCCTCAGCTCTATAGGCATCAAAAAGAATGATGGAGCACATGATGTGAATGTACTTAATATTGCTAAACTGGGCACTTAAAAATGGAGAAAGTAGTAAATTTTATATCATGTATATTTAGCCTCAATAAATTTTTAAAAGATGTGATGGAAAGGGAGATGGGAAGGAAAAGGGTCTGGGCCCCCTTTAGTTGTGATCTGTTGGAAAGATCTGGACTTCAAAATAGAAGAACCAGGCTTGGGCCATGTATCTAAGTGCCACTCACTTCACAATTATAGCTGAAGAAATGAGAATGGGCAGGATGAGAAAACAGAGAAGAAGAGCACAAAGTCCAGCAAAGGAGATTGATAAAGGATCACCTGAGAAGCAGGAGGAAAAATCAGGAGGGATTTGCACCAAAAGCCACAGCAGGAGGACAGGGGATTTCAACAGAGTCACATGCATCTAAGAGGCCAAGGAGGGTGCAGACTAAGAGGAACCCACTGGCTCCAGAAATCAGGAAGCCAGGGTGACATTGGAGAGCCGCGGGTCCAGAGGGTAGGCCTGGAAACACTTAGGAGAGAAGGGCAAGAAGAGAGAGTACGGACTCCTCCTTTCAGATCTTTGTGAAAGATGAAGATGGCGATAGGAAGGTAGTCTTTGGGAAGCAGAGCTAGCTGAAGGATTTCAGGTCAAGCTAGAGACTAAAGTGATATCGGGTGCCGTCAAAAGGTATTAGATAACACAGAAGTAAGGCCAAAACTAGTCAAAAGGGAAAACAAGCGTTAGGCAAAGTCTTGGATTAGACCAGATTAGGCATCTGGGTTAGCATCTCGGGCTGTTTAGCCTTGGAAAGGAAGAAGAATGAAGCAGGGCACAGGGATGGAATGGGTAAAGACAAGAATTTCCAGCTGAAGTCTCAGGAGAGAGCCATTGAGTGGATTTACATCAGTTGCCTTGGTTTTCCCAGTATTCCAGTAGGATGGCTTTTCCCTTGGTTGACTTTGAAGGAAAGGTCATTGGTTGACACTGATCATGGTCAGGCTGGGCCTTCAGAAAATAGACATGGCTTATAAAGGAGCTGGGAGAAATGGGGAGAATTAAAACATGGTCCCTAACCAGAAGTCTGTGTTAGACTTTCTTGAATACATGCACAGAATTAAATTCCACGGGGTACAGTGAGGGTTAGAGGATGGCTTTGGAATCATTGTACTTATGGAATTTACTAGGAATAGATCAAAGATTTGTGATGGTGGGTACTTCCTTGGTGATTTCAAAGTGTCTGAGACCCATGATAAGCAACAGTTGTGTTTATTCAGCATTGAGCTGGTCGCTGCAGGTGTGACAAGAAGTCAAAGAAGAGAGGAAAATGCAGGATGCTGGGTGCCATGTTCTGGGCCAGTTAGGAAGTGTAGCAAATGCAGATCTTTTTTTTGGCTTCCCACCTTGTGAACCCCTCCCCACCTCTGGGGAGTTCTCACATTACAAGCCATAGTGAGAGACAGAGCCACACCCAATATCATAAAAGCTGGGAAATGCCAAGGACTCATTTTCCCGGTGCCCCTGGAGGGTATGGCATGGTGTGCACCTTGGGCTCGGTCAGGCACAAGAGCTAGCAAGAAACTGGAAGACAGTATTTTAGAGGATTCTTTCTGTAAATACACTATACTATCCCAGGAGGATGGCTTTTCCCCTTGGTTGACTTTGCAATGTCACTTGATTTCAGGCTGGTGGCTTACCTTTGGTCTTGCCCATTGCCCAAGCCTCCTCCTTCAGACTTCCCCTCTATTCTGTGAGCTACAGAGCACAGCATGAGTCATTCCTTTTCTGCTACTACCAACTAGAATCCATTTCTGTTGCTTGTGATTAAGAACCCTAGATGAAACCAGAAGACCTACAAAAAGAGTGGCCAAGGCTTAGCCAAGGGGTAGAGGGAAAATATTTCCTCTTCCAACCTTTCTCCCTTCAAATCTCTAAATTTTAACATTGTAAAATCATTGAATCCATTACAAACACAGACATTTATACCTCACATTTTGCCATTTCTTTAATAAACTTATTTTGTAGCTAGTCCATACTAGACGTTAGGCTATGGACTGGTATTCCGAAGGAGTCAGTCTAGTCTCACCACTATATTGGTTACCATCTGCCCTCCAAACATTAAAATCTGGAATGATACACGACCATGGTGAATAATGTGTGTCACAAATCACTAGTTCTTGCAGGGATATTAAATTGTGTTGCATGTAAGCACCATTCAAGCAGTTTAATGGTTTTTCTGATGGATGCTATGTTGTAAAGCATTATATGGAGAGAATACAGAATGGTAGATATGCAAAATAAATGTTTCATTAATAAAAATTTCAGAATCTATTTTAGGACATGAGCCCTTTGGGAACCACAAAATGATCAGAATTTATTCCCTTGTGGGAGAAACAGGAGCTCAGCAAACCAAGAGGAAATGACTCACCAAGCCCTTTTACAGGAGTAAAATTTAATGTAATATGGAATGGTAGGTAAGAGTGTGAAGCTTTTCTTTGAAAAAAGTGATTTTTGAAAGGAATGCCAGAGTCCCCCAAAATGTTTTTATCAGCTATCTTTTGCATTGAATTGTTTGATAATATACAGTCTACAAAGGAGAACCGTGCCTGGGGTCTTCTTGGCTCACGTGGTTACTAGATCTTTGGAGAAGTTGATGGGATTTCAAGTATGTGCTGTTTTTCTCTATGGGATTCCAATAACACATCCATATAGGGAGTCCCCGTGGAGCAAGGAGATAGAGAAAGGAGTTAGAAAGTAGAATACCAGCATGGGAAATAAATTAGTCTGTATGTTGCTTTAGGTACATGTTGACTAAGGTCTCTACATAGTGATTCAAAATGAGCGATTGGAAATCTGGCTAGAAATGAACATTAGCATTTCAGTAGGTTAACTTTTCCCTTGGTTGCTGTCTCAATCTCACTTGATTGATGTGAGTTGCAGGAGGGATCACGGTGGTGGAAGAGAATGTTCAAGCGTCGCAGCTGGATTTTTCGAGATGGTTCCACATTTACTTTTGTGGTGATGCCCTGGACAAATCACACGATAGATCAGAACTGCAGTTCCCTCAGTTATAAACAGAAATAAAAAAACGTGATGTC